TGTAGAGAGGGGCCTATGGGGGTGGGGGGGGAGGGGTGAGTGGACAGACAGAAGTGTTTATTTATCTGGGTGGGAAGAGTGGGCCACCATGCCTTGGGGAAGCATTGGTATTTCCTTTGGGGTATTTTTTGTTTTTGTTTTTTAAGTTTATTCTTTTATATTATCCAGAAATACAGACTTATCACTGAATTGTCTGGAGTCTGGTCTATGTATTTGGGGTGTGTGTGTGTGTGTGTGTTGTGGAGGCCAGAGGTCAAAACCAGGTGTCATCTTCAATTTCTTTCCACTGTATTGTTTTGTTTGATTTGTTTTCCAAGTCAGGGTTTCTCTGTGTAGCCCTGGATGTCCTGAAACTAGGCTAGCCTGGAACTCACAGAGATCCACTGCCTCTAACTTATGAGTGCTGGGAATAAAGGCGTGGGTCACCACTGTCTGGCATGTTTGTTCATTTTTGAAACAGGGTCTCATTGTGGAACTCACTGTGTAGACAAGACTGGTCTTGAACTCACTGAGATCCTTGGTGGGAGGAGAGAACTGACTCCTGAAAGCTGTTCTCCTGGCCTTCACACACACACTCTGACACACATTCATGAGTGTGTTCCACTTTTATACACACCCAAGAAACGAATGAGTAAATTGACATAAGTTAGAATAAGCTATTTAAAAATAAAAGGGCTAGGTATGGTGGTACCTGGCAGTAATCTCGGGCAGAGGCAGGCAGATCTCTGAGTTCAAAGTCAGCCTGGTCTATAGAGTGAGCTCCAGGCCAGTAAGGGCTACACAGTGAGATCCTAACCTCAAAAACGAAAGAAGAGGTTGGAGAGATGACTCAGAGGTTAAGAGCACTGGCTGCTCTTCCAGAGGTCCTGAGTTCAATTCCCAGCAACCACATGGTGGCTCACAGTCATCTGTTATGAGATCTGGTGCCCTCTCTGGCCTGCAAGTGTACATGTAGGCAGAACACTAAATACATAATAAATAAATAAATCTTTAGAAAAAAAAAAACGTAAGAAGGAGGAGTCAGAGGAAGGAAGGAAAAGAAGGAACACACAGCCTGTTATAACTTTAACCAGTCTGTATCTCTTTCCACGAGTCAACAGCTGGGTGGTCTCTTGGGAGGGAGGGATGGACACTGGTCTCTTCTTTTACATTTCTTTTTTTCTCTTTCAAGACAGGGTCTCCCTGTGTAGCCTGGCTGGCTTGGAACTTCCTATGTTAACCAGGCTAGCCTCCAAATCACAGACATCTGCCTCTGATTCTCAAATGGTGGGGTTAAAGGTGTGCATGGCTATGTCTGGCAGATAAGCTGAGAGGGTCTGTGGGGTGGCTCAGTAGGTAAAGATGCTTTCAGTACAAGCCTGGTGGCCTGAGTGTGACCCCCAGAACCCACAAAAAGCTAGAAGGATTGAACAAGTCCACCATGTGTCAACCTCCCTGCATATCACACACACACACACACACACACACACACACACACACACACAGGAGCAGTAGGGAAAGACATCCAGCTAGTCTGAGAGCATCACCCAAAGGCTGGCGGAGAATAAAATGTCCCTTACACTAATCCAGTCAGTAAATGAATTCCACAAGGAGCATTTGTATGGAGTGTGTGTGTGTGTGTGTGTGTGTGTGTGTGTGTGTGTACATGTTTTGGGGCACAGTGGTAACTAAGACAACCTCAGTGCTACCTCGTGGGAAGGAACACTTGAGTAGGGAGGCATACTTGCCTCAGAAGGCGCTGACTCAGCATGACTAGAGCAAGATGGAGGTGACATCATGGAAGACTCCCTGGAAGGGGCAACAGACAGACCTTAACACAGAAAGACGAAGAAGGAACCGTCCCAGTGGCAGTCTGGACATGAGTTGTCTTCTCCCAATAAACTCAAATAAAGGCTTCTTGGGGCTCCGTCCACCTCCTGGCCCCTGTCATGGGCCTTGATGACTCTGGGGACAGATCTGTGTCCCTTTCACTGACTCTGAACCCTGGATGGGAAGGGCCAGGATTGCTGGCCACTTAAACTGTCTCCTAGCCCAGTGCAGATAAAGAAGCAGGAACTTGGGCACTGGTCATTGGCGATTAGCCTATGTTTGAATAGCGGAGCGTTGTCTATTGAGTGCAAACTCCTCAAAGGGCCTGGAGCAATGTCTCAGTCTTACCATGGTCCCTGGGGGTCATGATGATCATCTGAGCCAAGTAACTGCTGTCTTGGGGAGCTCACTTGTGTCCCCTTGCAAAAGGCCACACTTGCTGGGTTTTTTGGACTGTTTATTCCCTTCATTCAGGGATGGGGGGTCAGATGACCTCCCCTGAGTACCCAGCCACTCCCTATTCGCTGTTAGACGCAACTCTGCCCTAACTGCAGAGGAACTAGAGAGGGAGGGGCTCCATCTATGAATCTCCTGAAGATCCCTGCAGGGTGAAGACTTTCTGGTGTGTAGCCCATGGAACACCCACACCCCTGATGTGACCTCTGACCTGTGCTCTGTTGGGATGCCCAAAAAACTCACTGGTTACTCATGTGAACTTTGGTGGGACGTGACTCCGTTTGTCTTGGGGCCTTGGGAGGAGGGGTAGGCTTTGCTTAAGTCTTCTCCGGGAAGGAATTTTAGTAACACCATGAAAACATGAGGTCCCAAAGTTCAGATCCCCAACACGGGTGTGAAGGACCGGATGGTAAAGGCCGCAACCCTAGGGTAGCTAGGGTCGAACCTGAACTTTAGTTTTACTATTTGTTTCCTTTTTTTTTTTTTTTGTCTTTTTTGGTTTTTCAAGACAGGCTTTCTCTGTTGTAGCCCTGGCTATCCTGGAACTCAGACCACCTGGCCTGGAACTCAGAGATCCACCTGTCTCTGCTTCATGAGTGCCAGGGATTAAACATATGAGCCACCACTGCTCGGTAAGCTTCTAGTCTTTTAAAGCCCTGTTTTCTGGGCTGGGCATGGTGGCACACGCCTTTAATCCCAGCACTCAGGAAGCAGAGGCGGGCAGATCTCTGGGAGTTCGAGGCCAGCCTGGTCTACAGAGGTCCAGGACAGCCGAAGATACACAGAGAAATTCTGTCTCAAAAAAAAAAAAGAAAGAAACCTATTTTCTGACATTCTTGGGTAAAACCCTTCTTTCCTGTTGTCAGTGTTTCGTTGCCCCCTTGTGGTCATCTTTGAGTCTGCATGGAAAGACATGCCTGGAAAATTGTTGGTGATTCTCCAGGCATCCATCCCTTCAGGGTCCCTCTTGGCGTTTGTCCCCCTGAGCTGGGTCGTGAGAAACTAATTTGTGCATGGCCTCTACCCAACGACTGTCCCTTGTCCTCTATCATGCCCCCCAACCCAAGAATAAGGGAAGAGAAAATTTCCATTCTGAGGGCTGCGTTTGCACCCCAAAGGCTTGCATGGTGATGGTATCCTACCCAGGTCCTCTCCAGTTTCAACTGTCTTTCTTTTTTGTTTGCTTGTTTGTTTTTTGAGACAAGGTTCCTCTGTGGCTTTGGAGCCTGTCCTGGAACTCGCTCTTGTAGATCAGGCTGGTCTCAAACTCACAGAGATCCTCCTGCCTCTGCCTCCCGAGTGCTGGGATCAAAGGCTCGCGCTGCCACCACCCAGCTTCTAGCTGTCTTTCTAAAAATTGTCCTTTTGTAAATGTTCCCAGTGAAGCTCAGAGAGGAGTTGTGTTTTGCCTGCCACGAGTTGTACTGAATTGCTGCAAACGTGGGGTGTGCCAGAAGACGAGGGACCCTACCCCAACCGCTGGGCACTCTGAATTGCTCTTTAGAAGCAGGCAGTGGAGGCTCACACTTGTAACTCTGGGGTGGGGAGGCAGGAAGATCAGTAGTTCAAAGCCATCTTCACGGCACGTGACGTTCAAGGCCCTCCTGGGCTGTGGGAAACCGTGTCTCATCTCTTAGGATTTTTACAGGGCGACCGTGACACTTGTGTCGGGCCTGTCCTTTTAAGTCTCCAGTGTTGTGAGCCAGCCTCTCCGCTTTGTGATTAACCCTCTCATCTCCTGTGTTCATTAAGGACCCTGAAAGAACGGAATGATACGGTTCAGAGAGGCGGGGTCACCTGCCCAAGGCCGCACAGCAATGCTACAACAGCCCCCACCCCATCTAATTTGTTTCATTTGAAGTTGTAGAATGGGTGAAAACTCATCTCTGATAACTTCAGGAAGAATGGGGTACCGAGGAGATGGCTCTCAGTAAAGCCCTTGCTGTGTAAGCATGAGGACGTGTGTGTGTGTGTGTGTGTGTGTGTG